ACCCAATGGATACATAATTCATATTCAACCTTTTTGCTTGGCAAATTCACACTCAATCCCAAACACCACAAAACTTTTAAATGTCTTCCCCAATTCGCATTTGATTTCCTGCCATTTTTAAGTAGAGTGGATAGGGTAAACCTGCAAATTGTATTCATGTATTTTGGTTATATCTGGTCATGTCTTTTCAACATTTAAAGTTGATCGAAAGAGGACCTGATTGTTAACCAATATAATGAAGATTTTTGCGCAGCTTCACATTTATTTGTGTATACAAATATAAATCAAATTTCAATTGTCAGACACATCCCAACTAACACATTAGCATATCTGAAAACGTCCAGTCAAATTTTTGTCAAGAGCACGAGTACCTCTTTAGAACGGTTTTTCCCCCAATAAACCTGTTTGCAGGTCTGGCAGAAGGGCCACTTTCTATTATCCTGGAGGTGAGTCTTACTCCTGCTTCTGGTTATGCAACAAACAGCAGGGTTGGGGCGTCAAGAATACTCCAAATCGAACTTCCCAGTCTTTTTTGGGTAAGAAGCATCCTGAAGGCAGTCTACGAGGGTCACTCGGTAATGAACAAACAGTAGGGGGTCTTGTTCTAAGGTTGTAAGAGATACTAATTTACCTGATACTTCCCTCATATTAATAAGAAATCACGAAAGGAAGCTAGTTTCGGCCAGCCGAAGCTTATATACCCTTGCAGATCATTCCTATTGACTTATAAAAACATTAAATTTATATGTTTAAACAACCAAAACTTAAGCTGCTTTGGTATTATTTTGACAGTATTTTTTTGATCCTTCATATGTGAGCTACGTCCAAATTTTGTTAAATTGTATTCAAAATTTGAAAATGTTCAAGAAAAGCTAAATCTCAGAGAAGAAGAAAATGTAATAAAAATCAACAAAGATATAATTTTGTTCCTATTAATTTCCATTTAATTTTCCGATTGTTTCTATGGCACCTATATGATAGGGGAGAGGTCTGTAGGTTGGTACACCTTTTGTTTTTAATCTGTCATTTCGATATTCACTTATGAAACTTTACGCATTTGGTACTGATCGAAAGGTTAGTCTATTAGCTTAATAAAAAACGATAAAAAATATTTTTTTTCCTTAGGGAAAACTAAAAAATTATTTTTTTTGAAAAGTCCCAAAAAACGACATTTTTAAAAAGAGGTCTGTAAGTTGAGACACTTAAAAGTAAATAATACTCACACAAAAGTACTCCAAACTATAAGGAACTATTTATTTATGTTAATTTAATCAATTCTTGTTCGTCCTAAATTATTTCCCATCCATTTTTTAAGAACTTAGACCAAATAACAATTAAAATCAAAAGGCTCTTTGAACATTCACTTTTACCCTAATATCAAAGAAATGTACTAGGCAGAAAGCGACCTCTGTTGGCCTAAGGCCGTTTTGTATGAAAAACGGGTGTCTCAACTTACACCCTCAAAGTGTCCCAACTTACACAAAATAGGATGTTTCGGGAAAAAAATTAATAACTTTTGTTTTGACTGTCACATTAAGCTGATTCTTTTTTTAATTAGTTAACAGTTAATATACTAATGTTTTAGATCTTTTACCAAGTAAATTTAAGGACGTTATTAATTTTAAATGGAATATTGAAAAAAGTAGACAAAAACTTTTTTGGTGAAAAATGATACACGACTCTCACAGCTTTAATCTGGCTAGAGCCTGGCCTATAATGTTTTCCCCAAAAGTTTTGTCACTTAAAAGGACTACAAAAAAAAAAATAAAAACAATTTTTTTAGTGGATAAGTTTTGAGAAAATTGAGTGTCTCAACTTACAGACCGTCTCAACCTACAGACCTCTTCCCTATAGTGATCCGATTTTTTAAAAATGTAGTTCGAAAATCAGAAATAATTAAAAAAATAATGTTCCCAAGAGTAGAAGGTAATATTTAAAACAAGAGAGAACGCTATAGTCGGGTGCCCCGACTATCAGATACCCGTTACTCAGCTAAAGGGTGAGCGAAGGAGATGAAGATAAAAACTTTGATCCGCCGTAACTTTTTAACGAATGGTTCGATTTAAAAAATTTCTTCTACATTTCGATAGGTATTCAGAAACACAATTAAACTGCATTTTTACTTTTCCGAAATATTGAAATTTTTAAAATCGTATATTAGCGATTGTTGGCGTTAGAGTGGTGGCGTGGCACCCTTTTGAAACAAACTTGCGCTGCGTAGGAACTCCTAGAATCTGCATGCAAAATGTCAATCTTCTAGCTTTTATAGTTTCCGAGATCTCAGTGTTCATACAGACAGACAGACGGACATGGCTAGATCGACTCGGCTAGTGATCCTGATCAAGAATATATATAGTTTATAGGGTCGGAAACGCTTCCTTCTACCTGTTACATACTTTTGCACGAATCTAATATACCCTTTTACTCTACGAGTAACGGGTATAAAAACACCGAAGCTAGAATTTTTTTAAGTTTTTTTTTTCCTATGGGAGCATTAAAATATAGTTGTTCGATCCGACCGGTTCCGACTTTTATACTACCTGCAATAGAAAGATTATTTTTTGGGAGAGTTTCATCCAGATAGCAAGCTAGACTACTTTGCGTAGAAACGGACGGACAGACAGATGGCTAGATCGTCGGGTGATGCTGATCAAGAATATATATACTTTATGAGGTCGAAAACGTCTCCTTCACTGCGTTTCAATCTTCTGACTAAAATCATTTTTCCCTCTGCAAGGGTATAAAAAACAGCTAATGGCTATCGTAACGAAGGACACTTTTCTCGAGGATATAAAACTTTTTCCACCTTTTTCCTCTTTTGAAGAGCTTATCGCCTCGCCGACAAATGTGGGTCTATGTCAGCGGTCGGCACACACATACGATGACATTTAGTTTTATATATGTGTGAGTAATTTGCACTGGGCAGCTCATTGATGTGTGTGTGCAGACTGCTGTTTTACAGTGTCCGTGAGGGGCAGCGGATGAGCAGAGCAATTCCCTATGCTCACAATAGGTCGCCGCCGACCGCTGGTCTATGTATACCCCAGTGCGAGTTTGGTTGTAATTAAAAGTGCAAACAGATTGCCAGAAAAGTAACCAATGTTAGACAGATCCAGTTTTGTAATCGTTTGTTTCGCACAGTTTAAATATTAAATAATATTTATATTTAAGCACTGAAATTGTGCCTCTTGTTACATTTTAGGTGCAATGATGTATAACAACCCTAGCCAACCAGTAAGCGCTTTATATAAATTGCTTATTAATTATTAAAAGTATATTTACTTGTCATATACATTAACTGTGTTGTCCTTTCCAAGCTTACGAAATTCGCTACTTTAGAACTTTAAGCCGACAGAGTGAGGCTTTTCTCTAATGGCAGCTGAAATACCTGCGTATCCCCATCACCCCCATTACGTCCAACAAAACGGACTTGCCACGCCCAAGACGAACCACCCACCCGCCATCCCCAAAAAAGACACCCACGTTTTCTACCTAATGATAAAAGAAAGGACATTAGCGGGCCTCGGCACATCTCCACATTTTGAGCGTCTTTCAAGTGAAAAGCAAAGAATTAAAAAAAATTAACAAAAAAGGTCGGAGAAGAAAAGCGTTGGGAAAAAAGCAAGCAACAAAAAATGGGGACGCGCACAATGAAAGAAAAGAAAAAGATTTCAAACCACCTCCCAGTGCACGCTCTACGTAATGCTCCTCCTGCTAGCTCTCCATTTATAAACTTCCTTTTATTTTGGTGCGCGGGCGTAGTTAAAAATTAATAAATGAAATTAATGCCGGCGACACTTTGCAAGGCATTGGCCAGTACGGAAGTTGAAGATGTTGCCAAGGTTTTCCTTTGACTTGCCTCTGTTTACATCAAAAACATTTTCATTTGAAATATTAAGCGCCTAAAAGTCGATAATGCTTTTTTCTTGCCAGTGACAGCTGCGTCGCATGAATTTAATTAGAGCCAGCTGAATATCACCAAGGAGGCAACACTTTTTTTGAAGACCCAAGTCCATCCAACGCAATTAACTGCCCATTCCCCCGCAACGAAAGTAAAAACTTTTAAGGGAAAAAATCTCTGTGAATTCATCTTTGTCGCTGCCGGTGATTAATCACAAGCAAGAGGAGGCAAACAAGAAATAGCACTGCGCGCCCTGACCCATTGAACAGGTGTAATGCTGGGAAAAAGTGTATGTATATATGTACATGCGCCCTTTAAACTGTCCCTCCGGTGCCGTTAGGCGGTGACTACACGTTTTAAAAAGTTTAGGCCTAATATGCAAAACCAGGAACAGGCTTGGTAGCGGATTAAAAGTTTTGCCAGCTCCTCCACAACCACGAGAGGGGAAATGGAGTTGTTCCACTAAGCGCTCCCAGGAAAAGTGGCATGTGGTAAAATTCAATATACCACAGTAATTTAACGAATGAAACATATTAGTATATTTTATTCCCAATAAAGTAATAAGAATCTGGCTTCGGCAAGCTGAAGATTATTTACCCATGAAAATTGTTTCTATTGCAGATGTTCGAATATTAAAAAATTTAAAGTTTATTTCCAAAATAAAAAAAGTTATATATTTCGATTTACTGGCGTGTTTTTCAAACAAAAAACAAATACGGAATACACAAAAAAATACAACCAACTTTCTTCTAGAAGCAAGTATCGGTGTCACGGAAATGGTTTTAAAATATGGAAGACGATTTTCAACCAACAAAAAAAAGGTATACCAGAAACAGATTCAAAATAGGGGAGACGGTTTTAAACCAACCAAATAGTAGAATTTAAGAAGAAGTATACCTTAAAACAGCAAACAAATTTGCTCCTACATAAATCTAAAAGTTTTGTTTGCTTGGTTTCCAAACTAAGCGTTCCCAAAACAGTCGACAGTGTCTGTGTCACCCCTAATAATAAAAAGGAAATAAAAATATAAATAAAATTTTTTTTATATTTTTAAACGATTTTTTTGTTTGAAAACAATTTGCACTAATAATACCGTAAACATTAGTCATGCTTTAATTCATGGAACTTTTTTGGGGATAAACTTTCTAAAATTCCTCGGTCTGGGTTTCGCGACACAAAGGGAGGCTCAAAGATAGCGGGGCCAAGACCCAATGATGGTAGTCGTGACGGATATGTAATCGGATTAATGACAGTCCTTCCAGGAGGAAACATTTCATCGAAGGTTGCAGTGGCTAGTATTTCGTTCGCCACATCTAAAAACTTTTTTGATAGTCCTTGTTCAAGGCCTGGCACAATTTCGTTTAAGTACAACTCCTGATTATTGTTGATGAGGCTATTCCCAACGTCTCCCAAAATCCGATCTCCATTGAACAAGTTTTCTAAGTTCAATTTAAAGTCCTTAAAATCAATTCGCATGGTCATTTTGGTGAACTTTACATAGTCTTTACCATTACGCAGATATCGGGAACCACGCATTTTAACAGATGCTTTGGCGTTTTCTGGTTTTGAAAAAAATATTGTGGGTTTTCGTTTTAATGTTTAAAATTACAACCTACCACAATATCCCTGCATGTTTCCCTTGCCTTTTATATCTAGGAGTAGCAAATTAAGATGCAGAGAATACTTTCCTCTGAAGTCGATCCGCGGCAGTGTAATCCAAAGATCATACGAAATATCCAACGGCTTGGCGCTTCATGCAAAAGAAGAATAGCTTAGAAGAAAAATTGCATATAAACAATACATAAATACAGTACATAAGACGGTCAATGATAAAGTTACTCCCTCCGTTGGCCTCGAGATCCGTAAACACTGCTTGAAACTGACTACTCCGACCTAGTTCGATATTATCTAAAGCCAATGGCTCCAATGGAGGTGTTTTATAGCCATCCCCGAGATTTCCGTGAACAAGTAGTGGCCTTATTTGATAGACAGCGTTAATAATACAGCGCTCCAATTGGGGATCATCGCGGGCACATGGTCTTATTGTGGACGCTAACAGAAATTTTATGAAATGGCGTTAATTTATCGCAACACATATAAATTTGAACATACGAATCGCACAATAAAGCAAAGGCTTAGCTATCTTAGAAGGTGAACACTTACGCAACTTTGCACAAATAAAGGGACACAAAGCTAATAGGCAAGCCAGAAAAATGGCAACACAGTTGCAACTCCAATTGAGAATCATTTGTAAAGCGATTTTTTACGATTTGCTAGATGACGTTCTGAAATTCGAATGAACCGTAGTTGTTGCGCTCTAGCGATCGACTAACGATTCATCGGGCAGCATATAGTGCTTTTGATTGAATTAAGTAAGCTTAACTAAAGTATCTCTCTCTCGCGACATTTTCGTAGCTTTTTACGAGCAGCTCGCACATACTGGCACACAAGGCGAAGACTTAGTTATATTTATTGGAAATTAAGAAACGTACGTCCGTTCAGGGGCACGTGAGTTGTCGCTTTGCATGTAAAATTAAATTTATGTAGTTTTAGGTGAATTAAAACAATGCTGAATATGCGTCTGTAATGTAAACAAATGCAAGTAAGTCAGCGGCGGAAATTTGAATAATAAATTTTTGTACCCTCCTCAAGGGGCCAAACTTGTCGCTTAACTTGTTAGATATGCGCAAAGATGACACTAAACTAGGTAAAAAAAAAAAAATAACATCAACACCAATCAGGAAAAACAAAATGTTTATATTTCTTGATGCAAATTCTCTATTTGCTAACGAAGCAAGCAAGCCAACCACCGAAATAACCTTAGGCTATGGATTTTATCCACTTACCAACTGTGAAACGAAAAAGAAAATTCTTCACAAAATAATTGCAGGGAAAATAAAAACGAGAAGTTTAACACAAAAATCAGTTTGTTTGTTTCGTTATCGTTGTAGAAGTCATCCCTTATTATTTATCATGAAAATTAAAGACATTTGACGCTACCGAACATTTTAACAATTACATTCAATTACAACTAATCGCAAGCAATCGTTTTACGCGTTGCACTAAAACCCACTGACCTTTGACTCTTGTTCTACATCAATTGATTTTAATAACGACGCAAGAGGGAAAATAAAATAATAGGAACGATTTGTTTTGTTAGTTTTCTTTAACTACTTTCGACTTAAAATTACTGAATTTTATTTAATAAATTTTTTTTAACATACGCCAAAGTATTTTTAAAAATAAAGAACAAAATGCTTTTAAGTACATAAGGAAATATTTGAAGAAAACTAAATAAATAAAATCGTTTCTTTTTTTCTTTCATTACTGGACGGACGCAATAGGGCGTCCTATAACTGAAGTTAAGGGGATGAAGAAATTCCTCAGGTTTCTAATCTAAAAGAATGTGTTATAGTTATAAAACCACCATTCAGAATAAATCAAAAGTTGACCGATCATAAAACCTGCAGCGCATTTAAATGATGGTGATGAAGCTCCACCAACCCCCACAGCTAACCAACAACTTTTTCATTTATGCCGTTTTTAAGAAGATAGAAACACACTCACCATCAAATTTGTAACAAATTACATTTGATGCGTGTAATAAAAATCCCGCACAGCTTGCGAAACAAAAATACTCGCTTCCATCAATAGGCGTTCGCACCGCATTTTGGCCTAATTAAGTTTTCAAGTGCAATAAAATGATGGCTGGACTCTGCGATTCAGAATTTCGAAGGTAAGAAAAGGAAAGGCAAGGGAGCAAACGCCCTATTGCGTGCGGACATCAAATTTTTGCGAAAGTACATAAAACACGAGTTAAAAACTTAAATGGATATACCACAACATGACGAGAAACGTTGATGAAGATGAACGCACACATACACGACTACGTGCACGGAAGTAAAGTAAAGTGGCGGAGAGTTACTGGACTGCGTAGGTTCTTCTAGGAAAGCCGAGAAAATCTTGGGCTGGGTGTAAGGGTTTCCACGGTTGCGTTTGGAGCGCACGAAGAGACTCCGTCGAGGTGCGACTATTATGATCCTCAGAACCTTTTCACTATGTGACATTACAAATCTTTTAATGGAAAAAAGCCTTTTTTAACATTTGTAAGTCTAGCGGATCTTACTTTAAAAATCTTTTGGCATTTGTAGGGTATTCAATTCTTGTTATAATGTATAGCTTGTAATTTAATTTTTTATACCATAACCTTAAATTTAGTCCTATTGTTTGCAGTGGTGGGTAAAAGAGTAATGAGCGTTTTTTATTAAAATTATTATCAAATTATGTGCATTTATCTCCAAAAACATCAAAGATATTTAGACCGATCCTATGGCAGCTATATAATATAGTTGTCCGATCCGTATAATTCTCATATATAGTATGCGCAAGACGAATTTAAGTTTACCAGCATGAAAACTAATTGTTAAGAGGTTATATACCTTTTTTGAGCGAAAAAATTGAGGAAACTTTGGATTTTTTTCAGGTGTATAGCAATTATTTTATGACAGTGAAGTTATTATTTATTGATAGTACATGTTTTTATCGAAACAACAATTCTTTGTTCTTGAAAAAATATGAATAATTTATTTATATTTATTTATATCGCCAACGGATAAATCCTTATCTGGCTACAACTTAACTTAAATCTATTATTGAACATTAATTAAAAAATATTCCCTAAGGGTTTGCCTTAATAGTTCTTTCTTGGCCCCCCAGCAGAATCTGTTTGTAGGCAAGGAATTGAACATTCTAAGAGACCTTAGTAATGGCTCATTGCGAGCATAATTTGTCCTGACAGCACGTTCCAGAAATGGTACCAAGGTAGGAAGATTCCTAGCAGGAGCATTAAAATTAATGCATCCCAACAGACAAGGACAATCAATATTACCTACCAGTAGATCATTAAGGAGAAAAAGTCCTGCAATTGCACGGCGATCCTTCAAGGAACAAGTGTGCAGCAGGGAACACTGGTTAGCATAGGGCGGAGCCGGTTCAGTAAAATGCAAGGATTGCAATGCAAACTTTAAAAACTTTTTCTGCAACCTCTCAAGCCTATTGATCTGGACACTTCCTGAGGGATTCCAAATAAAGGAAGCATACTCAACCCTGGAACGGACAAACGCAGGGTAAAAGGGGTTATGACAATTCTTTCGAAACCCTTTTTTTTATAGCGGCTTGCGGTGACCACGATGGAAGTCCAGCAGGTCAACTGATATCAAAAAACCAAAAAAATTTTATTAGTATAGTATTATTTCCAGTTCGTGAACGATTATTTTCAAGAATATTTGTTTTTTTCTGCATACAGAAACAATTTTTCCAAAAAGTTAATTTTTCGAGTTCTAAAAATGTTATTAAAAAATTCTGATCTGCAAAATCAAAATTGTCGCATAAAAACTGAATCGTTCACGAACTCGGCACAATCATTACGAATAATTTAAAAAAAAATTGAAGAAGATCGATCAAATAGTTCTTGTGCAATCGTGGTCACAGCGAAGGCACTTTTGGAAAAACACGACTTTGAGATAATCGAATTCAAAGTTTTACGTTGAGTATATGCAACTATTGAAGTCGAGCGCGTCAAAACGCTGTTTTCCTATCGAACTATTATTTGCATCTCTATGAAAATTTGGGAAGATGTTCTCTAGGGGATATACATTAGGATTCAGCAAAAAAAAAATTTCGTTTTTTTTTTTTAATTAAATTAAATTTAAATTACGTGACCCCCCAACCCTTTTTCTTCAGTATTTTGTAGCGCTAAACGTACAAATTTGACTGTCCTGCCATAAAACAGCTGTCTAAAATACACAATTATATTGCAATTATTTTTAAGACTAGCGTTGGCTTGTTTCTTTGAGTTTATCTATTAAATGTATACATTGCTAATAGGCATTGATACAAATTAATAGCGCGCCGATTATTTATTCGCCCTTTGGCTGAAAATTTTACCCAATATTTTGGGCTCTCCCCAAGATATTGCCCTTGCAGTCGCCTGTTTAGTTTTACACCAAAAGGAAAATTATATTATGCTAAAAGAAATCAGACCATTTTAACGAATTCACTTTCGAGTCAAATCTAAAAAAGGCCTGTACGTCATTTGTGGTCAATGTAGACAAATGCACCATAGTGCTACCTGACAGTCAGCCCAATAGGGGGAGCTGCAGCGCGTCTGACAGAAGGTGCTTGCTGTGTGTTTTACGTCTACCAATACCCCTAATCCTTGGAAGGAGGTACCAGAAATTATACAAAAATAAAGTCCCGGTCCACACAGAGAAGCAAACCAATTCACAAAAGTGAAGGATCGGGATATCAGTCAACCCCTCCACCAAGGCGGTGGGCGACCGAGATGGAGGTATTACTCCCAATAAACAAATAGTTGTCCTAGTATTGGTCTTTGTATTGTCCTGCAAAACAATACTCGAAGAAAACTGATCCTTCGGTGTATTTGGCGCTGTCACAATACTAGCAAAAATGGTACATAGGGCGATTTGCCAACTTGCCGAACGCTGTCTTTTTTTTTCTTCTTCCCGACGGAATTACAGATGGCGTGTTCGTAGTCGACATTTTACAGAACTGGTCTATATGGCGTTTTAATAATTTCTGACACTTTACAAGGATGTTATAAATGGCGTTTTAGTAAAAAATAAACTTTTTTGCGGTTTTTCAGTCGTAAATAAATACTATATTAAGGGCCATACCTGGGGGACGATGTCGATGCACGGAATCTTGGAGTCCAGTTCCATCCGATGACATCTCAATATATGAATCTCTTAAAATCACTTTACAACCGTTAATTTCCGGTCAACTGATTTATTGGCTACCGTATCACCTATAGGTCATAAATTTGAATCTAGAACTCTTTGTAAATTATAAGTTTCCACCGAGAAAATGTATTTTATTTTACTTTATCAATGACGTGGCCCAGTGTAAATTTTATTAAATTTACAACTGACAGTTGTATTTTTAACAAATCAAGGTCGACAGTTAAACGTATGACTTTTTTAAGCAGATAGCAAGCTTAACATACGATACCCATTAATATTTGATAAATGTATTTTTTGATAACTTTTCGAATTTTCTATAAAGGGTAACATCATAACTTTTTGCAAAAATTATTCAAATTAAAAAGGGAATTAAATTACAGGCTTAGCAAGTTATGACACTCTGTTTTTGTATTAATATTTTCACCGTTTCGGCCAGAATACTGATGTTTCAGGGCGGGAAATTTGAAAAAGAATCTTATACAAAAATAAAGGTTTTTCAGTATCACTACACACAAAAAAAAAACTTGGTAAAATCAACTGTAATAATTGTCAAACAGGCTCC